CTCGTGAAAGTAGCGGCAACACCAAGCAATATTTGTACGAACACTGGAGGTCGGCGGATCCCCATAAGAGAAACAATCTGGCATAGTGATGAACAAGTTATTCAAAATAAGAAACCGAGCCTTGGTCGCTGGGAAGAGTACTGGAACGAACAGTTCGAACGTCGTCACAAGTCCTTGTTTGTTGACACCAAGGGTTCGTGGACATTATTATATGATCCTCTAACAATAGCAGTATAGTCTTCCATTCATGCTATGAAGAGGGAAAGAAGCTAGATGCAAAGAAATTCCCCGCACTTTTCCAGATAGGGATATGTGATCACATCGTGGACCCTACTAATGACGCACTGCATAATGCAGGAGTGTGGCCTATCATACAGCGGTAGATCAATCTGTTTTCCAAAAACGAATCTCGCAACGACTGCGCAAATCATCGCAGAACAAGTTTCATTCCAACCGTCACCGAAGTGCTACAGTCAGTCATACTACACGTCTGACATATTTGAGATAAATATTAAAAAAATATATTATATGTATATAAATATTTGTGATAAATATTAGGGAACAATGGATCGAATCTCGACCTGGGAGCGACAACGCTGATCATATTTTTATGCTGTGTTCAGTACACGAATGGCGTTGCGTGTATTATCAACCCATAAACACGATAGTGCTTAAACAGTCCGTCAGAACACAAATTGGTAAACAAACTCGTTTTAGTGCATCTTAATCATGCTAAAACAACACATGGGACTAGTTACAGATAAGGATTTATGAGGGTAAATGGAGAGTAAGTAAAATGTTCAACAGTTTGTATCACAATTGGTCCTCAATTATCATTTATTCGGATGCTTCATAAAGGGTCTCTTGTCAGAAATCCGATCATGGGAGCTTGAGTTCTTGCATACGTTGAATCGGAGCATACACAGGGTGTGTGAAGACGGAGGCTAACTGCCTCCGCTGTGGCTAGAATGGAAAACCGCACACATCTGGACCGTCCCGTTTTAATACCATACCAGGGTCGGAACGATTTGGTCACGTTTACAAGGTGATTAGTGTCGACGAAGTGCGGCACAACTCCACTTGTGATTGGTTTTAACTACTCCACTTCTGAACCACCCAGGGTGATGCTCACCGATGCGCTCGGACAGACGCTAAGGCGTGCGGCCAACATACTTTGCTCCACAGGAGCAAGTGAAAGAGTAAATCAAGAAAGAGGCAGCGGAATCGGGCGTTCTATCCTTCAATCGTAGATACACCAACAGGATAAGCGTGAATCGGGTTTGGAGCTTGGTCAAGGTTCAAATACGAACAACTGGTTTTGAAGAGACTCTAAGAACACAAATTCTTTCTTGCTTTCAGAGTCGAAAGGCGGCACTGATCGTCGCGCTAAGAACATCCCATTGACCTTGACATTATGGGACGAGCCAGTTACACACAAAATTAACCGTTATGTAAGCATTACGAAAAGTCAGATGCGACAGAGAACAAAGAATAACCAAGATGAATGAATAATACCAGTGCGCCAATTTTAATAATACCGAACGGTGTTCCAAAGGATTGAGGATAACTTATGAGGAGGATGGACTGCATATTTGGGAGCATAGGGGGGGAGGGAGGTAATTATGTAGATGGATTCCGGTCGCTTCCGCTGTGGCCAAGATGCGACTCCTAATCCCATTTGATCGACGAATACAAACCAGGCACTGGGGTCGAAAAGCTTCGGTCACAATAACCATGTGGTTGGACTCCACCAGGTGTGAAATGATCGAACTGTTGATGGTCCTAATGATGCCACTATTTAGTCGAGCCGGGTGGTGCTCGCGGACTCGTTCAGATGAACGAGTATACTTTGTCCCACAGAAACAGATTAATAGGTACATACAGAAATAGACTGCAGAAACTGATGATTCATTTTCCAGAAGAAGACGCAAGAGTGGCCGGAAGATGAACACAATGCGAAGTTTCACTACGAGAAATACTTTTTCCACGGTAGTTTACGTGTCACCCTTTCGGCATTTGTGACGCCCTTGAAAGGCAGTGATATGTAAACCAGTTTCTTCTCAACAGCAATGATTTTGTTTGGCAACCGGTGACGCCTCAAAACGCTATACACAAATCTTTTCCACTTAGAGAACAAAGTTAATGAGCGGATCGTGTTTCTGGACGTTCTATGAGGTCGTTAATTGGACGGAAGAATCCAACGCCCCACCCACATGAATCAATTGTGGAATGATCAGTGTATCCATTTCAAAAGCCATGTGTCATCGAAACGGAAAACAAGCCTAATTCAGAGCATAGAATATCTCCGTCGACACAAGTGAGAGTGAACTGGAGTTATTGGAAGTTAATCGGATTTGATTCGTACAATGTGTAACGATGGTTTATTCGGACGACTGAATTTCTGTTGAAAACAAATTGAAGATCAGGAAATTTTGTTCAATTTGTTGCTTGCGCACAGTTCGAAGTCGGATACTGTTCTTCTCACTTAAAATGCCATTGTACACATATGCAGCTCATAAAACACACTTTATGCAAATTAGTTACTTCTTTGTGGAGACAGAAAAAGACAAATATCCATGCAGGAGTGAGAAAGCAACAGAAATTAGTTTCATACGTTTAAGGTTCTTACCTTCCCCTAGTAAATCTCGACCGCTGTAAATGCCAACTTGGTAACACGCTAGGATTGTTTTCATGCCCGTTTGCCATTGCAATCTGTAAAAGGGAATTATAAATTCATCATCACCGTACAGCGAAATACAGTGAAGCGAACTTCGCTGATCGCTGCCAAAAGAATTATAAATTAGTAACAGCAAATCGCTCGTGTAGGAGGTTGCAAAACCACAGTTGACATTTTAACACAAGGATAACTGTACTCCGCACTAACCCTTAGGAAAGTAAGCTAACAAATAGTCACAGATTAAACTTCAGGATTGGGAAGGCCTAAGAATCATAATTGCAAACCCAGGCATTTCTGGAGGCAATGAACCGAACGATCGTAATGAGATAGTCGCACTTTTCGTATTCTCGGCAGATTTGGTATGGACAGCCTGGGAGTAGTCCGCCCAAAAACAAACCATGAATGAATTTGTTAGTTGTAAACAACCTTGAACGTAGATTTGTTTGGCACATAGTCGATTCAGACAAGTGTAAAATATAATGTGATAATATTCTCGACGCACTTCAGATAGTACGCCATGACACATGGTATCAGAATTATCGAGAAACGATGGTGACAACCAACTGCAAACTCACCTGGGTTCTGGTGGTGGTCGCTTCTCTGATGCAAGAATATCGGCTAACATTTGCATCGGTTTGTCAAATACGATTAATTCTCCCAGAAGGTCTGCATCGCCAAGCGGTGTGAGGAGAAAGTCACGAATGAACAGCATTGCTCGTGTCGACTGAAATAGGATAGATCGTATCAAAGAGTTCGTATTCAAAATATCAGTGAATAAATGACGAGACTTGTAAGTCATGCGGTATCCATAAAACAGACTAATTGGCAAAGGCGCTCAAGAAGCACCATGCTTGTAGCGGGGGGGGAGGAGCGTGCTAATCTTCTGTATATTTCAGACGGAGATAAACGCGACAGCGAACTGTGGGCTGTCTTGCATATAGCGAGAGTTAAAAATACACTTTCTACCAAGATCATCATTTTTTCAATGGTTTGCGAAGTGTACTCCTTTGAAACATAACTCATTTGCAAGGCTGAACCAATCCACTCATAAATGAACAGTACGGCTCAATATTGTATGAATGAGTAAGATACTACTAACCGCAACAAACGTGACTTGAGCGTCTTTATAGAATATTTCATAGTAAGTAGTATGTGATTGACCAGAAAAAATTTCCCTAGAAGCACATCGAATCATAGTATTGATTCTTCAATGGACTGGTTCTAAAAGAACGGTCTATCCAAAAGTTACCCGGTGTTGCAAACAAGGTTATTCTGACGAAAATATACTTCCTGCGTACAAGTATATAAATGAACAGACAAAGGATTACCGGATACGCGTGATTGACGAGCGGCAAGAACCGCGAAACCGAAGTATATATACATATATGACAGTTTTGTAAACAACGGTGTTAATTGTTGTTTTTGTAGCTCGGGTAGTATAACTTGATGTTCAGCTGTTCACCGAGCTTGGCAATTGCATTGCGAACGTTTCATCGCCAATCGAGGTGACATTCATTACTGCATTGACAACATATATATATCTATATATATACACCGAGAGAGACAATGAAGTAAAACAGCCCTTTTCATGACTCACCGATTCGTCAGCTATAACGGCAATAATAGCCAACAAAGCGTTTGCCAAAACCTGACAGGAGGGCGGTGCAGTCGGAATAACAGTATGTTTGGAGTCTTTATATAGGACCAAATCCTTAAGTCCGATCGTAGAGGCCGTGTAAGCCAAAGTATCGTCGGAGAGTAGGTAGTCAACTACGGTGGTCACACACTCCTCCGGTAATCGCGGATAAGCACCATGCAAAAAAGCAAATGTATATGATCGACAGAGTTTCCTGCCTAAAGCGTAAAGAAAAGTGGAAAATATGATTATGAATATTGCTTTTATGAACTGAAGAGCAGTTGATCTTGGAAACTGCAACTATCTCAAATCAAACTATTTCTTTACCAATACTAGTGACTAAACAAACTGAGGTTATCCCTAAACCACAGAACACAGATGAGTAAGACAAACCGTTGGACTCAAAGCAACGCAGAATGTGGTATTGCCACAGCCTGAAATGTTAATGGGCGACTAAATAACACAAGTCAAGAAAAACTAAAGACTACGTTAACTGCTATTTAGGTTTATCAGGTGCTTGTTTCTTGAGGACCAAAACTAACTACATTCCTGATTTTAACGACGATAATTCCAATATGAACACGATTGGTTTCCATCGCACGCCATCTGACAATGCAGGTTAAAATCATCATCTACGTAGAACACACGATAATTTATATCATATTTAACACGTCTGAGTTTAGACGGAAAGCCAAACAAATCACAGTACAACAATCTTCAGGACAAAGAAATTTGTTAGTGATTTGCAGTAACGATAAAAGTCAGACCTTGGGGCAGGGTGAATATTCTCAGCAAACCCTATAAAAAATAACGCTGGTGTATGAAAAAGAGACATAACGATTCATATAGTTTCCAAAACAGTACGGATTGATTTTGGTATTTCAAACGGTTAGCCACAGTCCGCTAAGAGTGTTTGTACGCAATTCCAAGAGAACAGAAACATATTCAATGGAAATGGAAAACTACACAACAACAAAAGGTAGCAGAAATCATAGCATTCAAGAGGATGCATATCTTTGCCTTCTCCGATGGATCAAGCGGCGAATCGACCTATCCCGTTTATGGACCTGAAACTTTACGTATTAATTGCGGCTCACCGGCATTTTGTGAATGCAATGGTTAGTACCAAACTTAAATTATTTATTGTTTAGCTCATGATTGGTCATCCTACCAAGAACGAACAATGCTGTGAAGACAATGTGACAAATGTGAAATTGAAATGAAATCTTGGAAACAAAATCCGGTGGGCTGTTTTCGATAAATGCATCGTCTGGCCATTACAAATATATAAGGTAATTTGAATTCGTCCATCTGGTTTTGCTCGCATCAAACTACGTAAAGAAAGTATGCTAAGGTTGTTTACCTGATTCGCATTTCGGCTAGGTCATTGATGCATCTACCAGGGAAGTATTGTTGGGTTTCTTCATCCGAGGCCAATTCAAAGCTAAAGCCCGAATGAACTGCTTTTGAGTGCATAAGGCGGATCCAATGTTTAGACAGCTATCGCCTCGACTGTGCATAGAATGATAAACCGAAGTTGTTTTGGCAGAGATAATGGCGTGTGATGAATGATGCGGAAAGNATGAACATTAACTGTGCACCGTGTCTGCAGTATGTGTTGGCAGGTATCACTTTTCGCCGTCCACCAGCGGGCGGTGTTCGCATATCCTCTTTGATAGCCGCCTCGTAGTTCGGCCGATGTAGCTCGCTCCACAGGAGCGTAAGGAAACAGATGCAGCTTGAGTGGGTAGTTTATTTTTGAGGTGGAACCGTACTGCTGAGAGCTTTGTGAAATTCATGCGCAATTCAGCTGTTGTAAACGTTTGACGCAGCGCTTGGTTGATTCGTCGTATCAGCCACTCAATCTTCGGTTGACAAAGCCTGATCCGCAAGGCAGCGGACCAGTGTGTG